TGAGGCCCAGTGCTCATTGGTAGCAAACCTAATCTGGATTCAGTGGTTATTCTTCTTCCTGCTTTGGGTGGCAGGCACATTCTGGAAGTTTTACATAACATTCATCCTCACTAAAATTCCCATGAGGTAAGTACTGTCATCATTCCCGTTTTCAAGATGAGGTGACTGAGGCACAAGGAGTTTGAGTCACTTCATTTCTAGCAGCATGAACTTGGTCAGGTTGTCCTTCATGTCCTTCCCTCTGCCTTCATGTCCTTCCCTCAATTAGGACTACTCCTGCCTGCTTCCGTGGTTGTTTGAGAGGATTCAGGACACAAGGTGTATGAAGGGCCACGGTAGGAGGGGATGTGAGTGCTGAGGACAGGATGGTTATCTTGATTGTATCTGCCTAGAAACCTCCCACGGTTGGTTTTCGTAGGGAAGGGGACCTGGATTTGGATGTCTGGGTCTTGATTCTCTGGGGAAAGAAGAGAAGAACAGAGAGCTGTTGACCCTTGGTGTGCAGGTGAAGAGTTACTGGGAAGGTCAGGCAGTATCTCACGTCCATCGAGGGATGGATAGAGAAAATGTGGTGTGTACATTCAGTGGAACATTATTTGGCCTTAAGAAAGAAGGAAATCCTGGGGTGCCTGGGAGGGCTCAGTCGGTTAAGCATCCAACTCTTGATTTCAGCTCAGGTCACAATCTCATGGTCCCTGGGATCGAGCCCCACATCGGGATCTGTGCTGACAGTGCAAAGCCTGCTTAGGATTCTCTCTGTCCCTCTCTCTCTGCCCCTCCCCTGCTCATGCATGTCCCCTCCCCCTCTCAAACTTTTTTTTTTTTTAAAAGAGAAGGAAATCCTGCCATATGCAATACCATGGATGGACCTGGAAGACAATGCAAGATGAAATAAAGCTAGTCACAGAAATACAAATACTGTATGAGCCCACTTAGGCGAGACAGCTAAAATAGTCACACTCAGCAAATCCATAAAATGGTGGTTGACAGGAGCTGGGGGAGCCAGAAATGGGGAATTGCTAATCAAGTGGCATAAAGTCTCAATTACGCACGATGAATACATTCTAGAGATGTTCTGTACAACATCACACCTATAGGTAGCAATGTAGCATCATGCGCTTAAAAATGGGTTAAGAGAGTAGATCCTATGTTAAGCATTGATACCACAATAAAATTTTAAAAAGAACAGAGTGGGTACAAGCCGAGGGAGAATTCATCAGCTACTGTAGAAAGTAGAGTTGACTCCATGAGCCAGGAGATCTCAGACCTCTGAATGACTCCTGGTTGTCATTGAATGTGCCCCTCACTGACCTTTCTGGAAGCTGTCTAGTATCTTTGAACTCTTCATTCCAGAAGACAAATCTTTCCCTTCCCTCTTCCCCTGGAATCTTTTGATTTCCTTTGGCAGCTGTGGAGCGTCTGGGGCCAGGCAGAAGGCCACAGGGCGACACAGAGCCAACCATTCCCATTGTGGGGGCCTCTCTGAGTAGATGACGCATTAATCAGGAGTTATATTAGAATTGATGGTGGCGCCTGGCCCTGATATCACAAATTAACTGGAGGAATCAGATGTTCTCCGATGGTCAGATTAGCTTCATTGATTGCAGTGTTTCCTGTGTCTGGTTTTGCCTGGAGAAGTTCTTCCAGAAAGTGAGAGAGAATGAGAGCTTTTGAAATCGGTGGCTTATGGAGGTTTTCTGCTCAGACTTGTGATCCTCCCTTAATGAGGAAAGAGAGCAACCCCAGAATAACACTTGGGCTGTGTGTGATGAGAGAGGATACACATTGCTGCAAAGACAGAGACTCTTCCGCTTACTCCCACCTTCTTGTTAACTCCTAGAAAACGAGCTAGGGGTCAGAACTGAAATTCATGTTTTCAGACAGCAGTAGTCATCGAACTGATTTTCTGTCAGAGGCAAAACCAAACGAAAAAAGGCACCCCAAAACTGACTCCTGAATCTGAGGACCGCTCGGAGGAAGAAAGCAGCCCAGGTTGGCTCCTGTATCAGTCAGGATGAGTTACTCTGCTGCCGTAACAAAGATCCCCGTGAGTCAGTGAGGGAAAAAGTGCAAGAGGTATGAGAGTTGGTCCCCGCTCCACACTAGGCTCACTCGGGGATGCCGGACCTTCACCATCAGGAGTGTGGTGGGATGCTATGGAGGAAAGGGGAATGTGGCAAACCGTGCCCTGGTTCCTTCCGCTTGTCTTGGCCGCAGCATGTTGCTCGGCTGTGCCTGATTTGCAGGGTATGGGAAGTACAGCCCTACCGTGTGCTGAGACGAAAAAGAACTGAAGTGTTGGTCAAGAGCCTTATTGGAAATCCAGCCTCCCAAGACCCATTTCCATTCCAGCCTGGGCTAAGATGAACAAAGAGGGAAACCGCCCCTCCACTCCCCGCAGTAGACAAGGGGGAGCTCACTCCTCCTCAGTTTACCTCCCAGCCAAACGGAAGGGGTGGTGCACCGTAGCAAGTTGTAGAAGCAGACCTGTGCGATCTCACTTCCTCCCCCAGATGACTTTGGGCAGGCCACTGAGCATCCTTGAGCTCTCCCCCCCCCCCCCATCTTTTGTAAGATGGGAGAAGCGCAGTACCTGCCTTGGGTTGTTTTTAAAGGTTGAGTGGCACCCCACATGTCAGGACTTAGTTTGGTGCCCGGCACCTGGTATGTGCTCAGGAAGGTTAGAGCGACAGGCCTCAGCTTCTCTTTGTGTCAAGTGGCAAGGACAGTAACCCTTATGGGGTGACTGTATCCAGGAAGTGATACCTGTGAGCCACTGAGTCTGTGGTGTGTGACTTGTGGAAAGTGCTCAAGAATGTGGCTGAGAGGCTGCTTGGGTTTCTGTAAGGGCCTCCGGACAGGAAGAAGGGAAAAGAGGAACTCAGAGGGGTTCACTTAGGTTATAAGAACAGAGGTGTGGCGTCTCAGCAAGGGTGATTTCTTGGAAGAAGTGTGGGGAGGGAAAAAAGGCTGGAAGCAGGGGTCAGAGCTGACACTTTGCCCTTCACAGACCAGGATAGAAGACTTGTGTATCACCAGCAGCTGTGCTGGGACCCAGTACAGACTCCGCTCTCCCTTCTTGGTGGCTGCTTCCTCCTTCCTACACCTTTACCTCCTGGCTCTTGCTGCCTTGTGGCCCTACTTACCGTCCCTCTTTCTGTGTGACTGCTTGCATCCTGATGAGCCACTGGCCAGACTTGAGATGGCTCCTTGGAGGTGGCATGCCTATTCCAGATCCACGTAGCTGGGCTGGAGTGGATGGGAAGGGACTCTGGTTGGAGGCCAGGCTGCAGTGCCCAAGGAGCCGGAGTGAATGAGGGTCCACGGGGCTCTATAGCTTCTTGCAAGTGGGTAGGGGAATTGGTAACCCAGGCCATGGGGCCTGCAGCCGAATCCCAGCTTCACCACCAACCAGCTGGGGTATGTTGGGCAAGCTCACGAACGGTCAGTTCCCTCACATGCAAAATGAGAAGACTAGTGATGTCCGGGAGAAATTGGTGCTGGATCCTGGAGAGATGGGGCAAAGGCAACAAGCAGGCAGCCATATGTGACTTCTTTTCCAGACCATTACTAGGCCACATGGGGACAGTGGGCACAGGGATGTAAACCAAGCCCAGGGGAAGAGGAACCTCCTGAGCCCATACTCCTGGAGAGCCGGTGTCTGCCTACTTTTTCTTAAAAGGCCAGATAGAAATATTTAGGCAGGCCAAAGGGATCGTATTGCAACCATCACTTCTGGTGTTGGAGCGGGAAAGCAGTCATAGACAGTACATAAGCCAACAGTGGTGGCTGTTTTTCAATAAAACTTTATTTACAGAAGTGGATGGCACTCAGGATTAGGCCCCCGGGGGCCACAGTTTGCCCACCTGCTAGAGTAGGAGCTGCATGGAGCACTTCAGCCCACTCACAGGCCCCAGCCCCACCTCTGCCGTTTCGTTCGACCATCTTCTTCCCCGTCAATTGTTAACAGGCACATTTAGGAAAACCCAAGGGGATTCTTCCCTCAGAATTGCTACTGATGGCCATTGTGTTTCTATAGCAACGGGGGTAGACTTATGGAGCCAACTAGCATCGTCTGTGGCTCTAGAAGTCCCCTCTGGATCTAGCTTTGGAACAGTGGGTACTCTTTTCAGGTTAAGGCCTCGGTAATGGGCTCTACTCAGAAGCAACTTGTTTTGGAAATGATGCAGGGTGTTCGTTGAATGGTACATTTGCTATGAGCTCAAAACGGCCAGGGCCCGCCTAGGCACGGAGAAGCTGAGTTGGGGGCCTTCCTGGAAAGATCCCTAGCAGGCATGGTCTCCAGAAGGACTCTTGGCCTTTCTCCTGACACCCGGGTGACTTAATCAGTTCTGCTCCAGGTACAAACATCAGGAGTCGAGTCCAAACACAAGAGTGTTACAGGTTTGCCTCCCCGCCCAGGATTCATTGTAAAGATCATAATGCAACAGGTGCTTCTCCTCCAAAACAGCCAGGACGTCTCTCCCTCAGAGTTCACTCTGGCTCCATCTCATTTCTCATATGGGTGTAGACCTCTGAGTATGTCCAAAGGCAGTAGATTATATATAATATCCTGCCTATATTTTTTCCCCTTATAACTTTTTTATGACGTTCCCAGCCCTTAAATAAACCATCACAGCACTCTCTGCTAGAATGTAAACAGGAAACTAGAACAGAATATCCAGGACCCAGGGGCAGAAACAATTAAGGAAACTTACTTGAAAGGGAGGCGCGGTTAGTTACAAAGCACTGGGGTCCATGGACATAGCATTTAGATTTTTCAAAGTCTTGGTCCCTAGTTGGAACATCCTTTTATTTCCAGATGGGGAAACTGAGGTCCGGAGAGCAAAGTCTACCTTAAGTTAAGCCCATAGCGAAGGTATCACACGAAACTGGGGCCCAGACCTCCAAACCTATGTGCCCCACTCTCCAGGGGCCAACCTACTTGGCACGACCGCTCAGTGACATTTGTCCTCTGTGTTTCCTCCCGTCTTCTCCAGGACGGCTACGTTTCTCACCGGCCGAAAGAGAAAGTGCGAACAGACAGCAACAATGAGAACTCCGTCCCCAAAGATTTTGAGAATGTGGACAACAGCAACTTTGCACCTAGGACTCAAAAGCAAAAGCACCAGCCTGAGCTGGCAAAGAAGGCCCCGAGTAGACAGAAGGAGTTCTTGAAGAGGAAGCTGGAGGAGGAGAAGGGGAAGGGGCATCCGTTCCCGGGCAAGGGCACCAACGAGGTGCTGCCTCCTGGTGAGAAAGCCGCCGTGAACGGGAGCCGTGGGAAGGATGTCCCGAGACAGCCCCACAGCAGGAAAAGCGGGGGCAGCTCCCCTGAGATCAAGTATGACCAGCCCCCCAAGTGTGACATCTCGGGCAAGGAGGCCATCTCTGCCCTGTCCCGTGCCAAGTCCAAGCACTGCCGCCAGGAGATCGGGGAAACCTACTGCCGCCACAAGCTCGGGCTGCTGATGCCCAAGAAGGTGACTCGGTTCTGCCCCCTGGAAGGTAAGCTCGAGCCCTGGCTCCGACTCCTCCTCCTGCTCAGTGCCGTTCTGCTCCCATTTCTCAGACCTTCTGAGAAGGAGCGCCCTATTTTGCCCTGTTTTTCTTAATTTTTTTTTAACGTTTGTTTAGTTTTGAGAGAGAGACAGAAACAGAGCGTGAGTGGGGGAGGGTCAGAAAGAGAGGGAGACACAGAACCGGAAGCAGGCTCCAGGCTCTGAGCTGTCACGGCACAGAGCCTGATGTGGGGCTTGCACCCATAAACCACGAGATCATGACCTGAACTGAAGTCGGATGCTTAACCGACTGAGCCTCCCCGGCTCCCCGGGACCACCCTATTTTCCAAACCCCTGATCAACACAAAAGATTTTTTCTTCTGGGAGTGTCTGAATTCTGAACTTTTGTATAAGAAAAGCTTTGGAAAAATCAAGTTACCTTTGGTTATAGCTTTAGCCAATCGTCATTATGGCAATGGGTAAAAGACACAAAATCAGGGCTGATGTGGAATCCGAGGTGATCGCATTTATAGCGTTCGTTTTTTCTCTCTCCACAGACTATTGGGATTAAGATTGACACAAATATTACTTTAATTGAATATGATTTGAAAGGTTTCTAATCGGTTACATTGACTTGGGAGGCTCTGCAAAAACAACCTTCCTGTTTTCTCTATCTAAAATTCCTTCCTCTCTCCTTCCCACCATCTGTCTCTCCCCACTTCCCGCCCTGTACTGGGGACTCTTCTATGTGCTGATGGCCAGTGACAAATCAGATGTCTTGCTGTGATAGAGGGAGAGGTTGGGGCTATAACAGGTGTTCATAAGCACAGCAGGGTGTGGGGGGTGGTTCAGAAGGTGTGAAGTGTTACTCATTGTATTTCTGCACCTGACCTCGTGCCCTTGACCGGATCTCATGTGTTTCTTGGTGTGTATTACTTCCTCCAGTGCCTGCAAGGGACAGGCAGTTAGGGAGTGTTCGCTATGTGCCAGGCACTGCACGAGGCACTTAGCATTCTGTTAGCTCATGTTAGCTCATCTCATCTACCATCCTGTGACGTTAGCACTGTCGTGAGCCTAATTTTTTTTTTCCACTTTTTAGGATTTAGGTGAGATAGGAGCAATGTGTGTAAGAGGTGTGAAGGGATATGCAGCAAACCCCTTAAGTGTTGGTTCCCCTTTGTGCAGGGTGCAGACAACCTTGGATTCGTTCTCAATGTTTTATCTGTACTTTTTTGAGTTTTCAGTTGTGAACGTGTATCTGGACTCTACTCTCTTAAGTGGAAAGATTTAAAAAGAAAAGGTTCATTTCTCCCTTGCATTTCAACCCTAGTCTGAGCTGTCCATGCGGTGTGCATTTATATTCTTGATGGCACTTGGCTGATAGGGTGTAGGGATGAATGAGTGGAGGAAGAAGTTTCCAGAATCTTGTGTTTACCGGCACGTGACTCAGCAGAGAAGTGTCGGAGGCCTGAGTTGAACGACCTTCGGTGAAAATAATACCGGGTACTCCTTCTACCAGGGGCCAACCCTCTGTTTCTGCAAAGGGCCAGAGAGAAAACAGTTGAGGCTTTGCGGGCCATACAGTCTCTGTGCCATCTACCCGACTCTGTTGTTATGGCGCAAAAGGAGCCGTGAGCAATACGTGCACAGAGCACTTAGTTATGTTTCAAGAAGACTCTGTGTACAAAAGCAGGCGGTGGGCAGGCTTTGGCCTGTGGGCCGCAGTGCGCGTACCCCTGCTAGATCCTAATCTCACGTAGTAGTATTTTCCACCTGGTTTGTGCCTTATGTCATTGATGCCTCACAACAGCCCTGGGAGGCAGGTCTGCTATCAGCCCTTTGTATCGATGAGGAAATTGCTCCTGAAAGATGTTTAGGACGTGGTGAGAGGTGTGTGGCTAGTCGAGCTGGGATTGGAACTCGGGTCGAAGAGCCTTTCCCTCGTCAGGAGGCAGAAGGTTTCACTTTAGCTCACACCGTTGGACCTTGAGGATGCCTGCAGCCTGGAGGCGGTATTTCTTGATGCTCAGTAGCCCTTGCAAGGAGAAGGGAGGGCGGTAATGGGGAAACAAGAGAGCCGAAGTGGCCAGTGGAGGCCAGGGGCTCCCACCCTGTGCTGAGACACCCCCAGGGTGTTTGAGCAGCGTGTTTGCCGGGGGTTTCCCGTGGACTCCACTGCGTCAGCCACCATGGCACACCCTCCCGGGACCTCTGAGCTGGTTAATAAGATTGGCATTTAAGAGCCATTGCACACCCAGCCCGGCAATGCATTAATTTGCTGCACCACAGCCTCCCCTTTTGCAATAAATTTACTGTGAATAGACTAATTGCAAAATAACCCTAATTGGGTAGTTATCAATGAACAACTTCCCGTGGAACAAAACGGCTTACAATTAATAGCATTTAAGCCATAAACTATTCTTCTGCAGAAAGCTAAGATGTAATTACACCCCATACGGAGATCGTATTCCCTTTCTGGAAACCATGACACCCGGATTTCCCTCTGCTTAGGAGGGATTTGAGCTTCAGCCTATGGCCCTTTTATTTCCTGCTACATGAGGAAACGGAGGCGGGAGGGGAGGGAGATGTAATATGTGTGTAAATACACATATGCGCACACACGGATGTATGCACGGGGTTTGTCATGTTGCCGAACTCCACATCACCCAGACTTCAGCCGATATGCTGCCGGAAGTTGGGTATAATTAGGGAAGCAGTTCTTTGTGGGGGGGGGAGGGGGGGGGAGTCTGAAAAACCCAGAGGAAAGGAAATGGGGTTTGAATGTCAACTTTGGAAATGGCTTCTGCTCCTCGCGCCCCCTGCTCCCATCCCGGCCCTTTGACTCTAGCAGCACTCAAGGAAAAGGAAGAGTCTAGAACCCCAGGAGCGGGTTTGCTATCTTTGGGTCCGTTCCTTGCCTTTGTGACTTAACCACTTGGCTCCGCCTCCTGGAGGCAGCACCTGGCATGGCAGCGCATGTCCCCATGGAGAGGAGGGATCCCTACGCCATCCGCTCACAGCCACCGAGAGGTCTGTCCGCTCACAGCCTCCAAGAGGGGGATGCATGGATGGTGGGAGATCATCCCGTGGTGGTCTCTCACTGCAGCCGCCAGGCCACCCGCCCGAACCCCTTCTGCAGCCAGGCAGCCCCCACAATTGGCTGGGCTCTCTGTCCCTTCAGCTGGACCTCCTACTGTTTCATGGAGATGAAACCATGTCAGATGGAAGGCCAAGGGTGGCCTGGGCTGGAAAAAGAGGTTTTTTTCCAGCCACAGGGTTTTGAATTGCGGTTGTGCCTTTACTAGGTGTGTGAGACCCTAACCTCTCGGTGCCTCAACTTCCTCATCTGTAAGATGGGCACAAAGAGTCCTACCCTATCTTCATAAGGATTGCCGGCTGCAGTGGGAGCATGCGTGTAAAATGCTTGGTGCGGACGGGGGATAGGCTGTTGGCAGTGGTATAAATGAAGGGAGCATTGAGAAATGGAGCGAATAGAAGGCCTCCTTAATGCTGACTTCCTGTGGCACCCCACCTTGTCTGGCTACCACCCCTCCCCCCACCTCCAGATCTCAGCCCAAATGCCACCTCCTCAGGGAAGTCTTCCTGGACCACATCTCCCCGGGAAGCCCTGACCATAGGAGAGACACTGACCCTGGGGAGGGGCAGAGGTAGTTTTTCTAATAAATGGTTTCCTTGATAAAGACTCTTCAACCTGTAGCTGGCACTCTGGTGCCAGGTGCTAGGTAATGCAGGTTTTAATGCCTCATTACAATTGGAACAATTAAATACCAGGAAGCCCCCTCCAAAGGCCTCATAGGCCTCTAGCCTCCCTCCATCTGGAGTTAAAATGCCCCGAGGAAGGACCGCCATCCCCCACCCCGGTCTCCCAAGTCTGTCCCGCATGCAGTCTCTGCAGTGCTAGGTAAAGCCAGTGAAGCCATGCTTCCAAAGGCCTTTGCCTTCTGCAGCCTGCACGTTTGGATGGAGAATAAGCTGGGGAAGATGTGAGACGTTTCCAGAGAAAGCTCTCAGCTGGGAGGTAGGGTGGGCTGCCACCGGACCAGGAACTTGGGCCTGAGCCCCTGGGTGACAGGGCAGTTCCCTGGTGAGTGACAGGCAGTGGGCTAGTCCTTTGCAGTCAGCTGACCAGCCGCGGGGCTGTGAGCATTTGCACCTGACGGGGGAAGCTGGCTCGAGTGTGAGGGCTAGAGATGGACAGAAAGGGGGTTTCCGATAGAAAGGCAACCGTTCAGGGAGCTGACAACGGTCTTTACCCATCAGCCTTTACGGGAGGCCAGAGGCTCTGGACGCATGGGCTTCTGGACGGCGGTAGCCGGCTGCCTGCTTCAGAGAGTGGCAGATGGCATAGCCAGCTGCGGGAGGGCTGTCTGCTGTCCATCTCTCTGCATCCCGGGGGCAGTGGGATGACTACACAGCACGCATAGCTGGCTTCTAGAAAGCATGGTTGGCAGACTGGCACGGGAGGAAGACGGACATGTGGATGTCAGTTTGGCCAGTCTGCGTGCCCTGGGGCCCATGCCTCAGTTTCCCCCCCTGTCAGCCAGAGACCCTGACACCCCCCCCCACCCCCGCCCAGGATTTTTGCGGTATCCGTCATGATGAGGAAATGAGAGAACAGCTGCGGAAGGTTAAAAGGCACCACATATCCCAGGACTGCATATATCCTCCTGCAGTCTGGCTAAGTGGCCGGGGCTGATTTGGTTTTCAAAAGGCCAGATTTGCAGAGGCCCCAGTCAGACCCTTCCGGGGCTCCTGTTGAAGAAGGCACAAAGCCCAGGAGAGAGGAGGCATTTCAGGGATGGTTCCCTGGGATCAGAAAAAACGGGTCCTGGAGGTGCTTCTTGGGCTTCTCATGGAGGGAAAGAGACCGTGCGGAGTCCAGACAACATCATCAGCCCTCACTTACGGGGCACCCAGTAGGCAGTGTTGAAAGCCAGTCCTCTGCAAGTGTTGTTTATTGAGGGCCAGATTGTAAATATGAGGCTT